CATCAACGCATACATGTAAATTCGAGAAAACAAACTCATGAATTAAATTGATAAAACGATGGTTAATATAAAACGTAGACAATTGCAGTTGTGAGGTAATCAGGAAAAGATGCAAGCAGGTCACATAGCAGGCCAGTGACTGTAGACAACCTCCCAGGCTTCTTGGCCTATCTTTTTTCCTCACAAGATCCACATAATTACTTCACTGAACCAAGAAATGAGATCACTTATTGATAGTTAAACATGATTTCCTGATCATCAGCTCACTTGCTAGGCAACGGAAGAAGCCTGAAAGGTAATCTAATCTTGATTAATTCTAAAATGGGAGCCCATGATGGATGCCGGTGAGCTGCCTAAACGAACGTAAACATTGTTCATCACAAAAATTCAGAAATTTGTCATTCACTAATGGAGCACACACATGCCAGCGATCCAGGCACAGAACCCGCACAAACTGAACACCCACGCAGAGCACGGACACACACAACGGAGGACACATGCGAAGAGGGGGAAGGGATCCATACCAGAAAGAACAAAAGCGACGCTCGTTCAGCTGGTTGGGGAGGCAGAGGTCGAGGCGGAGGTCCGCCGACGCGTCGAGCCGGAGGTCCGTCAGTCCGCCGTCGCGTTGGGAAACAGGTGAGGGCGGGAAACATGTTGGGGCGGAGGTCCGTCGGTGCCTCGAAGCAGAGGTCCGCCGGCGCGTAGAGAAGGTGGTCGCCAGTCAGCCGATGCGTCGGGAAAGAGGTGGTCTGGTGGAGGTCGTCCAGCGCGTGGAGGCGGAGGTCCGCCTGTCCGCCAACGTGTCAAGTCGTCGAGCCATGGGGCTCTGGCGGGCGGCAAACCGCCGAGGCATCGTGCGAGGTGCGTGGGGAGAGGATAACCGGAGGTGGCGTTTTTTTCCTTGTCACAGAGAGAGGTTAGCGGCTAATGGCATGCTGGGTAATTAAAGCGTCAAACATGTTTAGTATGTTGGAATGATGTAAGCCATCCGATCGCAAGATTTGATGGATAGGATGAATTGGTTCTCCGCCCTTTCGTGCTTTTATAGGGGTAGCAGATGATACTTGCAAAAATTAATTAAACCATCTTGTCGTTTAACATACTACATACCTATGTCCCATCACTTAAAATGCAAATTTTTATCTTACAGGTCCACATTTTAACCCAAACGGCCTGACACATGGTGCACCAGAAGATGAAGTCCGTCATGCGGGTGACCTGGGAAACATTGTTGCCAATGCTGAAGGTATAACCTGCAACAATCACGGACATATTTCTCATGTTTCTTTCAGAAGTTGTCTTGTTGGACCTTAACTTATTTTAGGGGTTCTGTCTTTTAATTGTGGTGGTTTAGGTGTGGCGGAGACAACCATTGTCGATAGCCAGGTAAAGATCAGACATCTTATTCTTACTCTTAGCATAAGTTGCAGTGTGGTAGGTTTAAGTTCCAACATTTGGTTTACCAACTTCTGAGAATTACTTCTACACAGATTCCTTTGACTGGCCCTAATGCAGTTGTTGGGAGAGCGTTTGTTGTTCATGAGCTTGAAGATGACTTGGGAAAAGGTATGCGTAGTTCTACTTGTTTTAAATCTTTGTCCCCTTCAGTTTCAGATGCTTCATTCTTTATTCTTTCATTATAGGTGGGCATGAGCTCAGCCTCAGTACTGGAAATGCTGGTGGAAGACTTGCATGTGGTATGTTCTCTGATACATTTCTTACATTTCTTTTCAAATGATTTTATAATAATTTTTCCTGATTATACATTGTAAATCTATAATCGATCTGATTATTTCGTATAGACTCCTCTTGCTGTTAATCAGAAAACATGAAAGTTAGTTGTAGTATCTAAATATTTTCTGTTCTGAATTTGTTGCATCTGTATGAGCCATCTAATTTTCAAATTGCAGCAAGGTGAATGAATATTAAAGTCCTTGTTGGATAAGCATAACTTACAAATTATTTGGTATATGTCGGACCCTGGGATCAAGACTATACTAATCTAGCACAGGAATCATACGGGAAGCCGAGATTAGCGCCTGAACCCAAACTGCACTGGCCAAGGGCCATCTCCTATCGGAAAGCCCGAAATCATTGGTTCAGCAATCCCCTCGGGAGCAATATTCGGACAGGAAACCAAGATTCCCACACAAGCCCTAGAGGAGATGGGTGATGCATTTCCATCTCATAGGCAAGTAGCTTCACCCCGTAATTTAGATAACCCGCTAGTAGAAGTATAGTGATTCCGAGAACCTATCCACAACGTGCACTTTATATCCATACACACCGTGGGATGGAAACAAACGGTACCAGTACCACAACACAACTCTATGACCAAAACACACACGCACACGCACACGCACGCACACGCATATATAGGCACGCTAAACTATGCTTGAGCGCATAGTACCTTATAATGTACTCCGCCCACGCCATGCGAACGAAGTAGTTAATTTAATCCACCGCGTGGAAATGCCTTCCTTGACCTAGTGGGTGGTAATAGAATCTATTAAATTTACTATGGAACACATATTGTATTACCATCAAGAATCAATCCAAAATTTAGTCGTAAGGAAGTCTACCATTTTACTATCAAAGCTTCTCCCTATAGTAGTGGGTGGTAAGACAATCCATTATATTTACCACCAAGCACTAAGCATATTACCATCAGAAGACAACCCAAAATTGAGTTATAACAGAGTGTGGCATCTTTACTACTACAAAACACAGTGGTTTACTATCAAACCTCATGCCTAGTTTGAGTGGTAAAATAGTATTTCTTTTACTAGTTTACAATGATATTACTACAAGTTCTTTTCTTACTATCAAATTAGGTTATGTAAGAGTTTATAACATTACTAGAAGGTGTTGGCCTTTTACGGGCAATCCTAAGGTTTACGAGAAGGTGTTTCTATCAGCGTTCTGGGAACGGGGGTATCCAAACTTGCCTGCCTGCGGCCCACGACGTGGCTTCATCGACGGCCCGGTATGACCCATTTCCAACATCAACAAACTCAAGATCCTTGCGAGGCGGACAACGCCAAGACCTCCAGAAGGAGCGGCCTCCTCAGACTGGTTCCTGAGGAGCGGAGATCTCTATGCAAACCCTCACCTCATGAGGCTTGGATGATGCAAGCCATGACGACCAAGGCCAGGCGGGCGCCAGCGGGCGTAGTACAACAGTTTCCTCTTTGGTGCTAAGGAGGCAAGCGCAGGCGCGGAGTCCCAAGAAATCAGTCAAAAGTTTCCATTTCCATGCAACAAGACCAAGACCGCCAGGATGGCAGGACGAAGGTCATCATCAAGCCCACTACAACGTCATGACTAGAAACTTTGCAGGCGAAGACCACCTTTCGTCAGGATAAGATGTACTAGTTGTATCCCTTCGAATTTGGCCGTTGTGGGATCCCTTCCCGCCTCCATTTTGGGGGAAGAGAACCAAGGCCACTATAAATATAGGCTAGCACCACCATAGGAGGGGAGATCGATTTGAACCCTCACCAGCTCACACCAACACAAGACACGCCTCCTGAGGTGGTTCTTGCACTGTATTAGTTTATCCTTAGCCCACTTCGAGGCTAATCCACCACAAAGCAGGAGTAGGGTTTTACACCGCAAGGTGGCCCAAACCTGGGTAAACTGCCTTGTCCCATTTCCTTCCTGTTCATCGAGCTAGGCCGTGAGATCGACGAGTAGGCAGACTGGGGAGATTGACTTCTTCGTACGCACCCCAAAGTTCGAATCTATCTAGGGTCAGCGGAGCCTGGAATCTGACATTTGGCGCCAGGTAGGGGTGCGTCGAAGATTCGCCTCTCCGTCCGCTGCACTCCACCCGTGCCGCTCGACTCTCATGGCAAGCGCCGCTCCACCGACTAGACCGACGGGTGCATTCGGAGGCGCCGCGGGCCTCCGAGCTTTCACCCTTGCCTTGCGGCGGGTGCAGTGGCTACCCAAGTTCAGGCCGGAGCTGCCGCCTCGATACGACGGCGCGGCGGACCCGGCGGGGTTTCTCCAGGCGTATGCGGAGGTTGTTTGGGCGGCCGCGGCAACGACAAGGCCATGGCAAACTGGCTACCCATGGCCCTCACGGGCGTGCCGCGCACCTGGCTCATGGGCTTGCCGGAGTCTTTAGTGGCCTCCTAGGAGAAGCTGCGCGGCCTCTTCATCGCGCGCTTCGCGGCGCCGGCACCCCACGCCGTCGCGGCCCTCCTCTGCGGCTCGCAGGCACCATCCTCGGACCGCCACGTCAAGCAGTTCTTTCACCGGGTGGGCGCTGCCCACATACAGAGGGGGGCACCATCGGGTTGGGTGGCGCCTAAGGCCGACCTCACCTTCGACTCCATTGACCACCCCGCGACCATGGCCGACGCCGGCGCGCTCCCGATGCTTTGCACCCCCACCATCTGCAACGTAGCGGTCACCAGGACCCTCATCGACGGCGGCGCCGGCCTCAATGTCCTCTTCGTTGAAGCATTCGGCCTGCTTCATGTGCCTCACGGCCGGCTCCGCCCCACCAAGCCTTTCTCTGGAGTCGTCGACGGCTCCACCTGCCCCCTAGGGCAGATCCGCCTCTCTGTCACCTTCGGCACCCACGACAACTACCACACCGAGCTCATCGATTTCGACATCGCCCGTATCGGCCTGCCGTACAACACCATTCTCGGGTACTCGGCCTTGGCCAAGTTTATGGCGGCAACCCACCCGATCTACAATCTCATGAAGATGCCGGGGAGCAGCGGCGTCCTCATTGTGGCGGGGGACACCAAGGATGCACTCTCGGCCCTCAAGCATGCTTTTAGAGCCGCGGCGGCCGCGCGGCCAAGCAAGGAGGGGGCCCCGGAGGCCCCGGGGGTTGCACCAGCGAAGAAGAAGCAGTTGTTCTCTCAAGACCGGGCCGAGACAAAGCAGGTGCCAATCTACGAAGACGGGGCCTCGGGCTCCACCTTCACCATAGGCGCCGACCTTCCTCCAGACCAAGAAGCGGCACTGGTCAGCTTCCTACGTGCAAACAAGGATGTGTTTGCATGGGAGGCAGCGGATCTGGTCAGGGTTCCACGTGGAGTAATCGAGCACCACTTGATGGTGTGCCCCAACGCGCGACCAGTGAAGCAGAAGGCGCGACGACAAGTTGTGGAGAAGCAGTCGTTCATCACCCAGGAGACCCACAAGCTGTTGGAAGCTGGTGTCATTCAGGAAGTGTGGCACCTGGACTGGCTCGCGAACCCAGTCATCGTCCCCAAGAAGGGCGGAAATGAGCGCATGTGTGTTGATTTCACCAACCTCAACAAGGCCTGTCCTCAAGACCCATTCCCTCTCCTGCGCATCGACCAGATCGTTGACTCCATCGCCGAGTGCGATCTATTGTGCTTCCTGGACGTCTTCTCGGGCTATCACCAAATCAAGATGGCGGTGCAAGATGTCGAGAAGACCACCTTTCTAACCCCGTACGGGGTATACTGCTACACTTGCATGCCATTTGGGCTGCGCAACGCGGGGGCAACCTTCCAACAGTTGATGCATATCGCCCTAGGACGGCAGCTCGGGTGGAACGCCAAGGCGTACGTCGACGACATAGTGGTGAAATCTCTCGAGAAGCAAGAACTCTTATCAAGGACCTGGAGGAGTCATTCGCCAGCCCGCGCCAAGTGAAACTGTGGCTGAACCCGGAAAAATGTGTGTTTGGCGTCTCGTCTGGCAAGTTGCTTGGTTTCCTATTGTTGCACAGAGGGATCGAGGCTAACCCGAAGAAGGTCAAGGCCATAGAAAGGATGAGCCCACTGCAGACCCTCAAGGAGATGCAGAAGCTGGCGGGCTGCGTAACCTCGCTTGGGCGTTTATCTCCAAGCTGGGGGAGCGCGCCCTCCCATTCTTCAAGCTGATGAAGAAGAAAGGCCCGTTCGAGTGGACTCCGAAGGCTGACGTTGCCTTTCAAGACCTCAAGAGGTACCTCACCAGCCCATCGATGATGGTAGCACCACGCCCCCTCGAACCTTTGGTGCTGTACCTGTCCGCCACACCTCACTCTGCCAGCGCGGCGCTGGTGGCGGTTCGGGAGGAGCACCCGATCAAGGACTCGCGAGGAAGCACCTCGCGCCCAGCTTAGGCGTCGCGGCCTCAGGACGGCGCGCCTAAGGCTTCGACCGCCCCGCCAGTCAATGGCGCTCCTGAGGCTCCGACCAACCCTCCGAACAACGAGACTCTTGATGACAGGGTTCCTGAGGCCACAGCTGCCCTCACAGACGACAAGGCTCCTGAGGATCCTCAGCACCAGGAGGCGCAAGACTCCGCCAACGCCTTCACCCTCGTCGAGCACCTGGTATACTTCGTCAGCACGGTGCTACGTGATGCGCGGGCATGTTATCCCATGTTGCAAAAGCTCTTGCTCACACTTCTCGTCGCCTCCCAAAAGCCGCACCACTACTTCCAAGGCCGCCCCATCAAGGTCATCTTAGCTTACCCTTTGGAGAGAGTGCTTCGGAGCCCTAACGCCTCGCCGAATGGAACATCGAACTGCAGCGTTCCAGTTGGAGTTCAGCACCACCAGAATCATCAAGGGTGCGGCCCTTGCCGACTTTGTGGCGGAATGGACCGACGTTCCCGACCCAGAAGTGGGTGAGGACTGTTCCCTCTCGTCGAGAAGCGAAGCAGCAGATGGTTGGATCATGTACTTCGACGGGGCGTTCGCACGCCAGGGCGC